TTTCTTCTTTCTTCGTTTTCCTTTTTCTTTTTTCTTCTTGGTCCTTCTTCCTTATTTCTTCTTAATTCTTCTTCCTTCTTTTTTCTTCCTTCTTTCTTCCTTTCTTTTTTTTTTTTTCTTTTTTTTTCTTCTTCTCCTTCTTCCTTATTTCTTCTTTCTTCTTCTTCCTTCTTTCTCTTCCTTCTTCTTTCTTCTTCTGTTGTTATTATTATTATTATTATTATTATTATTATTATTATTATTATTATTATTATTATTATTATTATTATTATTATTATTATTGTTATTATTATTATTATTATTATTATTATTATTATTATTATTATTATTATTATTATTATTATTATTATTATTATTATTATTATTATTATTATTATTATTTTGTACCTCATACCTCACAACTCACTCCTCATACCTCATACTTCACCCCTCATAACTCACACCTCACTCCTTATACCTCATACCTCATACCTCACCCCTCATACCTCATACCACACTCCTAACACTTCATACCTCATACCTCACTCCTCCTCATACCTCACAGTCATTCCTCTCGCCTCCGTCGTTGTATTAAAAAAAAAGAAAATTAGTTTTATATCACGGAAAAGGGGGAATTTGTCTGTTTTTTTCCCTGTTAGATCCACAAATTTATATGTTCCAGGAATTTTCAGGGCTACGTGTCTGCCTGGTAGGGGATGGTGGACGTTGGCTGTTCCATGTTTACACCTCAGGGTGATGTAGAAGGAGGGGAGTGAAGGAGGGGGAGGAGTGAAGGAGAGGGTGAGAGGGGAGTGAAGGAGGGGGAGTGAAGGAGGGTGAAGGAGAAGGAGGTGAGGAGTGAAGGAGGGAGGAGTGAAGGAGGGGGAGTGAAGGAGGGAGGGGGAGTAAGGGAGGGGGAAGGGGGGTTGGAGGAGTGGGTATTAGAGAGAATTTCACCTGTATTCGTGTGATGTAACCTGATAAATATGATCATAAATATTATTCATTTTAACTTGAGAAATTATTAAAAGTTTATAATGTTTGATTTGTATTTGTTTAAATGTGTTACCTGTTGTAGAAATCTAGGGACTGAATGTGTTTGGAAGTATATATATATATATAGCATGAGTCATCACAACATGCAAGCAGAGACTGGATTTTTATTACAGTACTTTTTTATTTATTTGGTAATATACTCTCTTCTAGTATGTAATTTCCTTTCTTAACCGGTTTTCAATAAAATTACTTTTTTCTAATAATAAATATCCATACTTATTATTTTCACTGAAATATCATCAATAATTCCTTTATCTTCTAATATTCCTAAAAGCTTTTGTAATTTATTCTTCCCTGTAATCTCGAAAACCATAAGTTTATTTTATTGTAAACTGGACAAAAACAATTGAATCCTTCCTGTTATATAATTTAATCTCTTAAAAGTTATTCCTATCGAGTTTTGAGGAATTGAATGTGATTTTTTTGGTCGATTAAGTTATCTGTATCAGGAGCCGGATGTATATCGTTCAGGAGCCGGATCTATATCGTACTTAAGGATCCATTTGTTGTATAAATCAAATACACAAACATCATGATTTACATATTGTATTATTTAAGCTTTTATTAAACACTAAATTCTAAGGTAAATGTCGACGTAAGAATAGAGGGAAATAATAAGAATAAGAATAAGAATAATAGGAAGAAGAAGAAGAAGAAGAGGAGAAGAAGCAGTGAACAAGAACAAGAAGAAAAAGAAGAAGAAAAGGGAAAAAGAACAATAAAACACCAATAACAATAACAAGAATTAAAACAAAAGAACAAGAAAAAGAACAAAAGAACAACAAGAAAAAGAACAATAACAATAACAAGACAGAAAGGAAGAAAAAAGAACGAAATATCACCAGTAAACCCTATACGTTGGGTGATTATCTAACCTGAACACACGCGTGGTAGAGAGTCTAACCTTCCCACCCGCTGAGTCTACCTCGGTCACCAACAGCCGACGTGGGGAAAGATAGAGGATAATTATAAAGCAAATATTACAACACTCTCAAAAAAAAAAGGAAACTCGAATTAGGAAATACATCTAACCATCCGCCAATCTTCCATTTTCTAATTGGATTCTCTTTCGTGATCATTCGAATAATCAAGAGATAGAAAGAAAAATAATGGTTTAATGAGTCGAGAGGAAGGGCAGGATTTTTAGGGGGGTAATTCTTTGGGGAACTTTAATCTTTATGGGGGAAATGTAGAAACACGGACTCGTAACCAACTTGAGTAATTAGTATTTTTACAACTCGCTTCACTTCCGTAGACGAAAACATCCGTAAGATCATCTATTTATCGAGACCAGACTGTAGATTAGTGGTCTGAAAGGGAGGTGGGTTTATATACTGTGATTGGCCTTCCTTGTAGCATCACTGGAGGGGTCTCTGTATAACGTGAGTTTTTCTGTGTAAATTTGATAAGACAAGTGTTCAGGCCCAGAGAGTATATATCTGTACTACATGCGTTTGCTGTACATTATTAGGCAGTTGTCGGTATTTTTGAGGAAACGTGACAACAGTTCAACAGATAGAGAATGTTCCTTCTGCCTCAACTGTGGAGTTCTGTTAACGGTTTCAACAAGAGTCAATATTAAAACATTAATATCTTTCCTCTGACAGTTTAAAGTTGTTAATGAGATTTGACTTTAAAAAAATGCAGTTTTAATATTGTATACAAGTTTTGTTGACAATGCATTGTTGTGTAGCCGCACCGAAAAGAAAGTTGCTCTTTTTCTGAAATATCTTATTCTCTATTGACTTTCATAAAAAAATTATCGCTCAGTCTGTTTATACCAGGAGCTGTATACGTGTGAGAGGCAGCAACACCCTGCCCTGTCAGTCAACTCGTCAGGGATAAATGTTCTTGTATTACAGACAATCTTAAAAGAAATAGTTTTAACATTTGGAAGAACAAAAATTTCATATCATTTAACAGCACAATTACCTGGTGAAGTATTGTATATTATCGTGATAGTTAATAGACAAGATTTACGCGACAGTGAGATGAAACAGAAAGACGGCATTTTTATCCACAAAACAAGAACATTTTGTGTTGACGTGGAAAGGCATAACACCGATTTTCTCAGATAGATGGTGGTAAGGGAGGGAAATGCCTGGATGATAGATGAAGGTGAAGAGGAGGTTGGCATTTTTAGTCCAGGTGATGGATCAACTTATCCTCAAGATCTCAAATCATTTCGAACATATGTTAAGGATTTTCCTCGCCTCGAAAAGAGAGAACATACTTTTGAACTATTTTTTTTCCTTCGTTTCTTTATTCTTACGAAATATGTCGTATGTAGAAAAGAAAAAGTGAGGTTTTTCTGTAAACTGCGGGAGTCAGAAAGCTATCACAGCTGTTAAATGCTTTAGCTATGTCGATACAACACGAGGGGAAAAATCTCGAGAAAAGACGCACAAAATTCTTTAAAGTTTTCGTCGACAGATGCAATCGTCTGAGGCCGACCCAAGAGCGAGGACCCGCCTGTCCCGGATAAACTATATTGTTCAACTGGGGAAATCTAGACACAGGGGAAGTATCACAGTTTTGTGGAAGAATAAACCGATGTTTTTTCTTCTTCGTACTGGAGGACATAAACTCTAATGTCAAGGGAATATCTTATTATAAAATCAGTCACATCATAGCAGAGTCACTCGTAAATTATCTCTCTATTTATCTACGTGTTTTTTATTGAACTGTTTTTTTAACGTCGAAAAATAATCTATATGGATTAATCTAAAATCTTCATCAATAATTCACGTGTGTTTGTGGTTGTTTGATGTTCACTCAACTCGACTGAACTATGATAGAAAGACTGGCTGTAACTCGGCTCCATTACTGGTTGGCCGCAAGAATCGAGTGCTTGTGGGATTCTTTAACAGTTTTTTCCGGAGATACAGAATTTCTCAGTAGATATATTTATGAGGAAACTTGTGACTGAATATGATTTGCAACATTTCCAATCCGACATTTGTTTTTTCCTTTCAGTGACGAATATTGTAGGAACAGATAGGAATAAATCCGGTATGTGAATGACAACAGCCTCAGTAAATAAGTTAGGTAAAGTTAGTTATGCACTTTGGTAGGAATGAAGACTTTAAGAGCAAACTAGATAGGAGAAATTGGGTTAACAGTAGACCTGATCAGAATTCAAAGCGTTTAGAAAAGTCGAAATTGAAACCTCATGTTCCGGTTTGATCTTGATGTCTCGGGTTACGTGAACGGAATCGTCGTCTTTTCTTCTCCAATTCACTTGTGTCTTCTTCTTTTGAGGATTAGTCGGTCACTCAACAATGAAATGGTCTCTTACCAATTGATGTCAGAGAAAGTTTGTCATCGGTACATTGACACACACACACACACACACACACACACACACACACACACACACACACACACACACTTTAAAATCAGTCACCTTGTGAGTGTGTTTTGTGACTGAACGAGAAGCATCATGCATAACAATAACACAAGATAAGATAACCGCATTAATTATATAACTGAATAACACTACATTATTTCCCACTCACCGTCACCCTACAAGGATATCTGAGAGGAGGAATAATTTCGTTGGGAATATTCTATCTTGTGAAGGCTCTCTAATATCAAATTCATTTCTACGTTGAAATAACACGTCGGGAAATGCTTCTCCTCCTCCTTATATCCTCCAACACTTTAGAAAATCTTACTTCAAGGACACGTCTCGCTGAAAATACTGTTGACAATAACACGTCTATATGATATTTACCTGTCATATATCTCATAAAATCAAGAATAAAACAGGTATTCTCTGATTTACCTGTGTGTTATAAAGCATATTCATCATCTTTACGTTACCGGTCATAGATATATCGTATTTTCGTGTGTATCCTCATGTTGTCTTAGTCATGTTAGGTGAGTGAAGGATGTAGGGCTTAATAACATTCTTAAATAAGGTTCATATGCTTGATTGGTTGTGTCTGGCGAGGAATGTAAAGATGGCGAGTGAGTCAGAGTAGAAGTTAGGAGTAGAGATAATGATAATAACAGTGAGAGAAGATGAGGGAAGCGAATGAAGACAACAGGAAAGATTGTGTATGACATCAAATGAAAAAATATTGAAAAAAATGATAAAAGACGTAGGAAGGTGATAGGGTGAAGAGTAGATATGGAAAATAAATAGATTATTGGTTGTGTGTCGTCATGTCTAAGATACAAAAATCCAAACCAGACATTAAAACAGACACAAGAACCCTCCCCCTCCCCCCACCACCACCACCACCCACCGCACTTAAACACGTTGATTCCTTTAGACCTACTCACCCTCAAGAGTCTAGAGCGACTCACCGAATGCAAGAACTTATAATTAAAAATTCTCGGAAATTCCTGACGTGGCAGAAATACGCCATCATGCCAGCCTGAAGTGGTGGAAACGGGCCAGATGACTCTACAGGCCGGCAACCAGAGAGCGACTCTGACATTTAATTAATATATGAAGGTGAGACGAATTTGGCCAACTAGGAAGGAGAGAGCGTGAAATCCCAGCCAATTAAGGGGAGTCAGCGAGTAGTTGACCACATGGAGAGTAGGACAAAGGAATGAATACCCCATTAAAGAACTTGATGACGTGATTATCTGACCAATAAAAAGGTAAAGTGCTGGATAATTTGACCAATTAAAAGTTGGATGGCCTGGTAATCTTACCACTAATACGTCTCATAACTTTCCCAATTGATCGCCATATTCTCGGCCTGACGCCGTGACCGAGTGAACTTTTGTTGAAATTATATAACCTCAGGAGCCAGAAGGCATACATGAGTGACGGACGGCCAACATAGGTGTGTCAGATTTAATAATTACTGTAGGCTTAAACATATAATTTTCAATTTGGATCTGCCACCGACCTTTTTAGCGGGAAATATAATATCCCCGTGAAAGGGTTAATCGAAAAGTTAACAAGGTAATTATTGCCTAAATGATTTTACTTTGAACATAATCGTGTCAGCACAATGTTTGAACATGTTATTAATCCTGTTTCACCGTGTTACGTAATTATGATGACCCGCGTCGATTTTTTTTCTTTTTTTTAACAGGTAGACAAAAAAGGTACACCCAACTTAGCAGTGAAAAAGAGTTAAAATGGGAGGGTAATTACCTGAGCTGTGAGTGACACAGGTAAATGACGTTATGTCAGTTGGGTTTCCCTCTAATATGAATTTATGGTTGTTTCATCACTCTTGTCACGTTGGTGTCTGTCTCCCTCTCTGTCTCTGCCACCTGTCTCTTCTACCTGTCTGCATCAATATATTCAAGTATAATACACACAGACACACACACAGACACACACACACACACACACACACACACACACACACACACACACACACACACACACACACACACAGAGGGGCAGATGAGAGCGAGAGGCTTCACCAGGCTAGGCTAAAGCGTGTCGGACCCTGATGGTGGCTGTCAGGCTGCCCCTCACTGTGGTATTACCGCCATAAAGTGGAGGAGGGAGAGGCAGGCTCCACAGAGAGAGAGAGAGAGAGAGAAAGAGAGAGAGAGAGAATAAAACAGAATCGGAATGTGGAAATTGGTGAAGGAAGAAGATAGAGAGATAAAAACTGACATAGAAAGAGAGAGAGAGAGAGAAAGAGATGAGAGGGATAGTGAGATAAAGAAAACGAGAAAGAGGTACAGAAAGACTCACACAAAGAGATAATCAGAATGAAAGACAAGAATTCACACAGACATCTTCTTCTTCAACACGTACGTCACCCAGAAACTCTTAACATTGTGGATTTATCAGAACACAATAGAGAAATAATGATAATGATAATACTAATAATTAAAGAATAAATAATAAAAACTACAATAACAACAAAAACAATGATAATGATAATAACAACAATAAAAAAAAATAATAACAATAATAACAACATGCAATAATAATAATAATAATAATAATAATAACAAGAATTATTAAAGACAGTACCAATAGTGTTCAGCACAAGCGGTAACAACACTGAGTAAATTACAAAGGGAAAGAGAAAAGGACATAGAAAGGTAGTGAAAGTGAGTAAGAGAAAGTACAGGTGGAAAAAAGAGATAGAGAGAAAATTAGAGAAATTTAAACATAGAGAAGGAAATATAGAGTGAAATAAAGCAAAACAGAGAAAATTAAAGAAAATAAAACACCAGTAGGAAAAAACGAGAGAGGGAAAAAAAGAAAGACAGTGGCAGATACAACAGTAATAGAAAAAAAGAGACAGAGAGAGACAGAAAGACAGAGATAATCGTAATAACAGCGTAAGAAGTATAGTACGAGGCAGTAATAAGCAACACTGACGCCAAGACCAGCACAGTTAGGAGGGATAACGCCAGCTGTAGGTAATAACACCCGATAGTAGCAGAAGTGGTGATACTGGACAGATATTACCACCACTACTATTTCTATTACTATTACCATTACAACTTTTACTAGCAACACCATCATTAATTTCACTATCATACCCATTACTGCCACTACTACCATTACCACCATCACTACTACCAGTACCTCCATCATCACTATAGCCAACATCAGCACTATAACCAGCAACATTAACACCAACACACCACTGCCACTACCACCATCTCTCCAGCCTCAAGAACAACACCACTTTAACCACCACCGCCACCTCCATCACCTCAAGCACGAACGACAGTATAACTACCACCACTACTACCACCATCTCAGCTAGCACTTCAACCACCACCACCATTACTTCTCAAGGCACCATCACTACTACCATCGTCACTAACGCCCTCCTCCAAGCACTAGTATCAGCACCTTCACCCCTCCAAGCACTAGTACCAGCGCCACCACCCCTCCAAGCACTCCTCCAAGTACTAGTATCAGCGCCTTCACCCCTCCAAGCACTAGCATCAGCAACACCACTCCTCCAAGCACTACTACTAGCACCACCACCCCTCCAAGCACTAGTACTAGCATTACCACCCCTCCAAGAACCCCTCCAAGCACTAGTAACAGCACCCCCACCACTCCAAGCGGTAACAACAGCACCCCCACCCCTCCAAGAACCCCTCCAAGCACTAGTAACAGCACCCCCACCACTCCAAGCGGTAACAACAGCACCCCACCCCTCCAAGGAACCCCTCCAAGCCCTAGTACCAGCACCCCCACCCCTCCAAGCACCCCTCTAAGCACGAGTAACAGCACCTCCACCACTCAAAGCGGTAACAACAGCACGAACTTCAGCTACGATCGTAAAACCAGCAGCGACATAGCAGAAACGCAAAGTTACATTCAGTAATATTCTCGGTGGAACTGTTCGGCACCCGCCAACATAAAGCTGACTCCTATGCCTCGACCAACTCAGCTGGGGAGGAGCAAGAGACACGTAAATAAAAGATGAAAATAGAGTAAAAATAGAAATGCTGAAATAAACAAGAGAAAGATAATGATAAAAAGAGAAAGAGAAAAACGGAAGTAAATCTGAGTAAATTGTAAAAAAAAAAATTAGGGGGGGTAGATAGAAGAATAAAGACGAACATAGGAAAGGATAAATACGAACAATAAAGATAAAGGATAAACAATATAAAACAAAGCTAAAGCTACAGAAAGGAACAAAATAGAATTAAAAATATCAATAAATTCATACACCAAAGTGAAACGAATTTGTGTCCATTGCAACAATAACAAACACGATGTCGAGAAATGTGTACAAAAGAGGATTGGGAGTATTAAGTATATTCTATCTTCATCCACTATACCATCATCCACTATTTACTAAGGAGTCTCACGGATATTTTTCTCCACATATTTATATTCCATAATCCACCGTCACACAATTCAACCAGTTACGAAAACCCCAGCCGTAAAAGTCTTATAATCACACTATCTTTACTGCTCCATCATCATCATCATCATCATCATCATCATCATCATCATCATCATCATCGTCATCATCTTCCCCTTGACCTTACATCTTTTATCTCATTCAAGGACATTTTCTTTGTCACCCTCGGGATCTTATCTTGTCTCTCGTCTATATAAGCTAAGGTTTCCAATCAGTTAATGTGGGTTAGTTCATTTCTCTATATTATTTCTTTATATTTCCCTATACTATTTCTTTGTATTTCTTTATAGTATTTCCTTGTGTTTCTCTATATATTTGTATTCTGTCCTTCGTGTTATCCATTTTTCTTACTCTAGAGACAAATATGAAATGTCAGTAATCACAGCTTTCGTTTCCTCTTCCCTGCTGCTCTCATGCACCTACGAGTCCTTTATCCCCACAGTGAGACAAGACTTAAGTTACATGTTTCCACGCCAGCAAACTAATATTCTTGTGTATCCTGACTTTCACCTTAGAGCTTATACCACTTGGGTGAGCTGTTCTAATCTGTTCCTTGATATTTCACGCTTGCCATAGCGGCTTCAGTTTAACTCTATTGCTATTTGACCACAATGTTTGAGTTAGATAATTATTTGTCTTTTCGACCCTTATTTTTTTTTACTTAGATTCTTTATTATGAATTAGAACCTGATATTTTGTTTAGCAAGTGATTTGTGTGAAATTTTTATTTTTGTTTAATTTTCCATGAATATATTTTTTTCTTTTACCTTTCATCCAGCAACACAACATAAGCACAGACACTAAACTTTCTTCCATTTTCTTTCCTTTTATACCTCGATTTTCTTGTCATGATATAATGTGGGTCAAATGCCCATCAGTGAAAATGTCATCAACAAACTCATAGTTCTATTTCACTCCTGTGTTATGGAATCTTCAACAAGAATTCAAAGTCACCAGTTTCTCTTGTCACCGTAAAACACCTGCCATCACTCACCCTCCACCTGGATACATTCTTTTATGCACTTTAAGAGGTCATCATCCCTATACACTCTCCTGCACTTTATTGACAAGGTTACATAAGCCCTAACACACTTCCCTTCCCCTCGATTTTATCTGTCACTTTCCCAATTATAATTTTCA